TATATGTATAACTGAACCACTATGCTGTACATCAGAAATTAACACAACACTGTAAACCGACTATACTTCAATTTAAGAAAAAAGAAATAAAAAGAAAAGATGCAGAAGGCAACAACACAAACATAGTATGAGTGTCGAGGACGTCAGTTAGGTTTCCTCCAGGCACATAATTTTATTGGAATCAAGGAGACAATGCGTTTTCTACCGTTTGGAAGTTCACAAAGCAGAAACCGCAACCCTGAGTTTTCTAATAGGAAGCTTGTGGATTCCCCAAAAACGTTTTGTTGAATTCTGTAGTGATTGTACCTGAACCTGACCCAGTGTAACTTTTTGAGTAAGAGAAGAATGTTGAAGCTCCAGAGGGAAAAGACAGAGCACTGGGGGTCAAGGAGTTGAAAGAGTCTGGGCTGCAAGCTGAAAACTGGAGTGAACTGTATTGATTTATTGGAACTTGAACAATGGTTTTCATCCAAGTTAATCCTTGGAAGAAAATCCAGAGCACTAGTTCAACAGCAATGAAATGTTTGCAACATTTCTAGCTTTCTAACACTAGTAAGCAAAAATATGAATTGATACATTTCCCCTACCTATTTGAATTCTCATTAGAAATTGAAAAGGCAGTCTCTTTACCACCCATGATCTCTAGCTGACCTGCTGTGCTGTCCTCTTAGAAACATACTCAACAGTGAATCACATCGTGTACATGACAAGTCGTCAGTCTTCAGTGTTTGAGTGAATTGAGGGCAGCGGACAGTGAGCTGCGCTCACCACCGTGGGTGGTTTCACGATGCAGCTGCAGTCACAGAAGCAGGCGGAGGTGGGGACCATGAACCTGGATCATTCATTCACTCACCTCTATCAGGGCACACTCTGTGAAGGCTTTGTGTAAGTACTGGGAATAGGTGTAAAATAGACAGAGAAGGTCCCTGACTGCATGGAAATTACAATCCAGAGGAGAGAAATAGAAGCCAACAATTCAACAGCATGGGGACCACATCACAGGGTGATGTTCAGGGAGAGATCGGAGGTGAGAGTTCCTCAGTGAAGAGGTCACATCCAAGAACAAGAGCCAGTCACACAGAGATGGGAGAGGAGAGTGAAACGTGCAATGGGATGCCCCCTCTTGTCAAGAAGAGGAACAAAACCAAAGGCCCTAAAGTGGGAATGAGCTTGACTTTCTGAGTCCCAAATGATTGGATTATAGACGCTCAATAAAAGAAAAGTACCAAATGAGGTAGGAAAGGTAGGCAGGAGCTGGGAACTAGAGGATTTTGTAAGCCAGTGATTTTATTCTAACACTATTGGGAAGTCATGGGAGGGTTTTAAAACAAAAGGAGGGCATGATTCCACTTACAGTTTAGTAAGTTGTTGTGTGGAGAATGGATTACAGAGGGTGGGAGTGGAAGCAGAAGCCAGATGGGGGAGGGAAGGGATTTGGATAGAATGTGATCACGGGAAGAAATGGGTGACTGCAGGGTGTGTTTAGTGGGTGGAGCCAACAAGACTTCTAGTGGTTTGGACGTGGAGTGGGATGGGGGATGTTGAGGGAAAGCCCATCTCTGTTACTGATGAAAAGACTGGATGAAAACAGCCCCAGACATATGGACTGTCCAGAACACCTTTGGTTGTGTAGTTTTAGGGGGATCAGGGTCCGCTTTCTCTTCCTTAATAATCAGGTCGCCAGCTCAGGTGTCATACCTCAGTTTGCATGCTAAGAAGTCTAGAAAAGGTGACAAACTTCCAGCTCTGCAGCGAACCGGGCTGACCAGAATACGGCACCCAGGTAGATTTCATGGTGAGAGGGAAAAAGGCTTTCTAATGACTAAGATGTAGCCACTGCCAGATGGGGCTTGACGTTGAGAAAACAGCAACCCTGTAAGCCAGAGACTAACCTGAGTCAACGTGCAGTTGGCAGTTTTTCTGGTACACTGAGCACAGAGATGTAAAACTCTCCAGCCTCTGACCATGCCACTCAGCAGTCCTTATCCTCAAAGTTCCCAAATCTCCCACAGTTGGTGACTTACAACCACCCACTCCAACCACATGCCTCAATAATCCGTTGACATCATAGGTACCTACTACAATGCTATTTCTCCAGCCTCCGTGTTCCTGACTCCATTCAGCCATGCGTGGGCATCTCAGAGCATGGTGTTGCCTTTAATTTTCTTTCTTAAATTTTAAAATTATAAGAGGTACAACACAGAAAAGTCCTTGAAACAAATATTTAGAATGATAAATTAGAACATGGACACCCATTGTGGAGAAAAAGGAACCCTCCTACACTGTTGGTGGGAAGTAGTTTGGTGCACCCGTTGTGGAAAACAGTATGGAGGTTCCTTAAAAAACTAAAAATAGACTTACCATATTATCCAGCAATCCCACTCCTGGGTGTATATCCAGAGAAAACTATAATTCAAAAAGACACATGCACCCCAATGTTCATAGCAGCACTATTTACAATAGCCAAGACATGGAAACAACCTAAATGTCTATTGACAGATGACTGGATAAAGAAGATGTAGTATGTTTATACAATGGAATACTACTCAGCCATAAAAAGAGTGAAATAATGCCATTTGCAGCAACATGGATGGACCTAGAGGTTATCATATTAAATGAAATAAGTCAGAGGGAGACAAATATCATATGATGTTGCTTATGTGTGGAATATAAAAAAAAAGATACAGGTTTTATTTACAAACCAGAAATAGGCTCACAGACAGAAAACAAACTGTGGTTACCAGTCACAGGAAGGAAGGGGAAGGGATAGATTAGGAATTTGGGATTAACAGATACACATTACTGTATATAAAATAGATAAACAACAAGGACCTACTGTATAGCACAGGGAACTATACTCAATTTCTTGTAATGAGCCATAATGGAAAAGAAACGGAAAAAAAAAGTATATGTATAACTGAATAGCTTTGCTGTACACCTGAAATTAACATTGTAAATCAACTACACTTCAATAAAAAATAATAATTAAAAAAACCCAAAAAAGTCAAAAAAACCTATATGATTCCTATTATGTAAAGGACACATATTTATATGCATGTATTTATGAATAGAAAAATAAGTACGTGTGCTCAAGGCAAAAAAATAAAATAAAATAAAATAACATGGACACCCGGGTAGCCAGCTCTAGAAACAGAATATAACCATCATCCTACTGGTAACTTCTTCTGACCCTTGGGTCATCACTTCTTGCCTTTCTTTGTAGTTTTACTTCATATATATTAAACTTAATTTCTGAAACTGGTTGCTGCAGGCACGATTGAAGATGTACCCCTTCCTTCTTTTGAAGTTTCCCCTCCCCACATTCTCTTCCTCTTCTCCTTCTGCTTTTCGCTTATGGGATTGACTTTAGTGAGACTGGCAATGAGGCACAGGCTAGATGGCAGGGGCATGTGTCTTGTGACCACAGAGCTATTTTTGATTTCCTTTCATGTTTCAGTTCTTCCCAAAGCTTCTATGTTTCCTCCGCCTCTGGGGTTCACGGCCGGCATGGCCCTTAGGGGTGCGGTTGCTGGGGTGGTCAAGGCTGTTGAAGACCGGGTAGAGGTGGGTGAGTGAAAGTCTAAAGGGAAGGATTTATGCCCCCTTTGGGCCTGAGCCAAGACTGGCAGCTGCTCCAGCAGAGGACTGTTAACAGCATGTCACGTGGTTAATGGGAAAAGAAGTTTCTATAGACTCCTGAGCTGAGCGGGGCCAGCCATCCCCACAGTCCGTTCAGACAAAGCATTAGGGTCTCAGAAGTCTCTCCGCCCTGCAGCAAGCTTTCCACTTACACACATTTTTCATTGTTTTAAAGGGTAAATCATGCTTTTCTGGACCAACGTCAAGGTGGAGGCCAAGCAGGTGGCCTCCAGGGCTTTGGAGGCCGTTGGAATATGAACAGTCGCAACAGCTGGGTGAGTTTTATTTATTTCTTTCACTCAAAAAAAAAAATCTTTCAAAGCTGAAGAATAAAAACAATGAGAATTTAAAAAAATATGTTGTGGCCTTCTCCCCAGATGTTATTTTTTCTGGTGGGCTGTTCAGCTGTGTGAGGGGCAGTCAGCCAGGGTGATTACTGTAAATTCCACAATAGCTTCTGAGAGAGGGAGGAAGTCCTGATTTCAGCTCCAGCCAATGCCAGTCACAATAAAAAATGACACCTGTCCTTTGTTTGCTCTGTGATTGCCTGGACTTCAAGGCTTCTTTTTTTTTTTTTTTAATATTACTCTTTGCCCAGACCTACAGCAAAAAACAAATGAATATTTTTTTTCAGGAAGATTTTCAGTGAACTATGGTCATAAAAATAGGACGCATTCTCTAGTAATATATTCCTTCAGTGAAACTAGCACATCAAAGAGACTGGTATTTAATTTTTCACTAGAAAATGATTTTTTAATACCCTACAGCAAAGGCACTTTTTGAAAATGAAATGTCCTTACAGATTTCTATGAAGAAAAGCTTGCAACTCTGTTGTAATATGTGTGTAATGTGTTTTGTGTGGACCATATATTATGGAAACAGCACCAAAGCTTTGGAATGTATGGGATTGTGGGGTTTGCAATGTGTACAGAATCAAAACTAAGTACAGTGGGTTTTACAATTTGAGAGAAGCCCAAGTGTATATGTACCTATTAAAAAAAATTGAAACAGATAGAAATCTTTAAACTGGTAAAATACAACAAAATAATCAAGTGCTTGCTGACCTGGAAACTCTAGAGAAGTTCACCCTTTAATGAATACATAATGGACAAAAGATCATTTTGGGGAAGACAGTCTGTTAGAAATCTTATATGCATGTTTCCTTGGAAGGCACCTCATAGTTAAAATTTATGGATAGATTTCACAAATGTGTATATATCGAAGATAATTGAATGCCGGCAAATTTGTGGAGAATGGATACTGGAGGTGTCTATTTATTTATAACGTATGCCCATGTGTATTGCTGTGTCACTCAGAGTAGGGACAACATACAAGAGAGAGAAAGGAATCAAAACATGGTATCTTTGCATCTTGTGTTATTAGTGACTTATAAGAATCTGTGAATGGAGGTCATGTGGAAAATAGGGTGTTGGGAGTTTAAGACATTATCCTAATTTATAGAATTCATAAGTTGTGAAATGTGATCGAAACTCAGATTTTGGACAGGACTTGGAGACAGGCTGTACATTTTCTCCTCTACTTAATAACTCTCCCAATTTAGAAGGTACATGTTCATAGAAAAATACCTGGGATTGAAGGGAAGATGATGGAGGAGAGTAAATGAACATAAAGGATTATAAATTTGAATATAAATAATAAATAGGATTTATATTCAAATTATTAGAATAAATAAGGGCCTAACAATAGTGGTAGATATAGGATTAGTATATAAGAACTAACCTTATCTCTACACATTGAGAATAATTAAAAAAACTAATAAAATACAATTTTATAGAAAGACATTAAGGAATAAGTAAGTGGAATTCTACCTTGTTACTGGATAAGAATGACTTCTCAAATAACCTATTGATTTAGTTAAATTCTAATCACAGCAAAGAATCAAGAATATAGCCAATCTACTCCTGAAGGTAAAGAAATACATTGGGGAGTTAATTAAACATTTAATGTGGTTTGAAACTGACACAGGCAGACCCAACCACTTATAGAAATTTGATGTAGAACCAAAGGCAGAGCCCACCACTGGGAAAACAGACTCTTCAATAAACACCGTTGGGACAATTGAGTACCCACGTGAAATCATAAAAAAATCAATTCCAGGTGGATTTAAGCTTATAAATGGAAAGGAAGAACCTTTTAAATTTTAGAAGAAAATAGACTATTTATAAAATTGAGGGAGGGAGGATTTCGTAAAACCCAAAGTATAAACCAAACATAAATGATAAATATACAGTAAAGTAAAACATCTGCTCATCAAAGGACAGCATAGAAAAGCAAAAGGGAAAGCCACAGACTACACTTTTATCCTGCATGTGTTTTGTAAAGAACAAGTGGATCAGAGGTTAGTATGCGGGATATATTTAGAACGTGTCATGTATTTAGATGTTGATGGATGATGATTGAGCTCCCACAAAGGATAAGAGAGCAGAGCTCACAGATGGGGCTTGGAGGAAATGCTGGAGTCAGTAAGAAGCTAAAGACAGAGAAGGCAAGGAGGAAGGCAGAAAATCTGATTAAACTGTGATGGAAGCCAAAGAAAGAAAAACTTGTTTTTTTGAAACATCATTATGAGACACTTAACTAGTAGGCCTTTGATAAGTGTGTTTTAGGTAGACAAATTAGACTGCTCTTTATTTTTGAAGCTTTTTCTAATTTAAATCACATTCTTCTTAGATTGCTTAATACATATTTATTCCTTGATTACTGAAAATTGCATTTATATTAAAAAAAATTTTGGTTTTCTAGGGTCCGTTGTTACTTTTCATAATGCACCTAGCGTGGGACATTTAAAGGATCACTTCAGATGACCATTTTTCTGATACCAGTGGGTGAGACCCTTTGAGATGCTAGGGAAACTCAGAATCCTGTGTCTTCAGGGACACTTAAGGATTTGCCAAGATCTATGGGGCAACCTGAGATTTTCGTTTCCCAGAATGTTAGAGCAGCAATAGTCTGAATCCCAGGTGGACCTTGGCATCCTGGGAGGCCTAGTGGAGATGTCTTGACCCTTTGCACATGGTAGGGGGAGGGGACTCATGTAGTCCGTCTCCTTCCCTCAAGGTCCCCCTAGAGGTCACCTTCCTGCTGTATAGTACAGTGCACCTCTACTCCATACATTTCCATTTAAATTGCTCTGCTCCACACTTTGTTTGTCCCGTCCTTGCTGTAACTGTGGAGGTGGATGACAATATTTGTGCACACTATTAGCTGTGACCCGAGTTAGCCTATCTCTCAGAACACAGCTGACGAGCTGTCATTCCACAACCCATTGCATTGTTGACAGAGACCATTTTGTAAATCAAATGCAATGGAAGCTGAAAATTAAATCATTTCACTGGGCCTTTAAATCATTGAAGAAAAGAGTCATGGGGTCAGTGTTCTTTGGAGGGACTTCATTGTATTTTTTTTAATGTTAATTTTTTGTGTGTATGTATATATATATATATATATACATAAATATATATATATTTATTGACGTATAGTCAGTTTACAGAACTTCATTTTAGACTAACAGAAGCTTTGGATATTGTTTTGTTGCTGGCACTAATGTTTGTTTTCTTTTCCTTCCAGAATATGTGAGAAATGTTTGCTTCCATCTGGCCTTTGTCAACTGACCTCGGAAAACCACACGAGATGCTTTTTACTTCATGCAGCTTCGTTCACCCTTGCTGTTTTCACCTTGACTTCGGCTGCCCATCCACTCGGCTGAGCAGCTGGGGACGGCTGGTTTCTCCCTGTCCTTGCTTCTGCGTGTGCGCAGGAGCTGCCTGCTGAACTCCCACTTCATCTCTGCTGCCAGTGACGTGTTACGTTATTTTTCTAATTGGTCTCACCTCTCACTGGGAGTGTAATTACAGCCATACTGCTAAGATAGAAAAGAAGGGAATCGCTTGATGCTTTCAGGTTGGTGAAAACTATGAGTAGCGCTTGCTCGTTTCTGTAAACAGCTAATTCTCATCCAATTCTCAGATCAGGTTTGGAAAAGCTTTGGCATCTCTAGATTTGAACTCCTGCCTTCTTAATTCAGGCCATAAAGGTGAGAAAGAGAAAAAAAAAGTCTTCTATACTCTTTTAAATAAATTTATAAATAAATTTTAAACTACTTCTGTATACGTGGTTTGCTTTTGTTTTTAGTGGAAAGCTCTTGAGTGACCTCATTTTAATATTCTCTTTTTCGGTCAATACAGATCAAATGTAGTACTATATTCACTGTTGGGTTTGGTTTTGGTCTTGATTTATGTCCTAGTACTGTTCGTCTGCTTTTTCAGAGTGGGACGGTTCATTTCCTGAAGAGCCATAAAAAGTCAACTAGATACAAATGTAGATACCGTGTGTGGTTTGTGGGTGTTTTGGAAACTTGTCTTTGCTCTATGCCACTTATTTCCTATTACTCATTCAGGAGACTTTCCTGTTTCGCTTTTATGACCTTGAACCAGTTTATAGACCCCCAAGTTCAAGAACAGTGGTTTTCCAGACTGTCGGCTTCCCCCACCTCCCTCCCCCCACGTGATGCAGGAGAAGCATTGCAGCATTGAGTTTGGTCTTAGAATGAAGGTTGGAAGAGCAGACGAATCTTGCAGCTGGACAACTAATAATGCTTTGCAGCATTAAGAGGTCTTCTGTTCCCAGCTGCTCCGTTGAAATGAATTTTCCAAATATGAATTTAGGGAAACATTGGGACTTCAGGTTCTTGGGCCAAGACTTGGGGGGTGCTCTCAGAAGTGGGGCAAGGGTGTGGAATAGAAAGGGTGGGGGTGCTGACGACAGATGGTGCTCATCGAGTTTCTCTGGAGTCAATAATGCAGACACTCTTGGCTTCCCTGTCTTTCTGCCAGCCGATCCTGCGTCAGTGCTGTTGACACTAACATAAAATGTTTGGTTCATTGAAATCTTTGTTATTGCCTAATATGGGGAAGACAGAATCCCTCAGTCGGGGTTGGAAACACTGCCAAAGGGATTGTAAATGTGTGATTGTCACAGGCATTTGACTGCCGTGGCACGCGGCCATTCAGCCCTGCACCTGCCAGCCTGGCGACCTCGCAGCCCACGGTCACGTTCTGGTTTATGTGTCTCTGCTTGGCAGTTCTCACTTGCTGCTATTTTCCAGTGTGTAACCAGGAATTAATATAGGGGAAGGAGATGCTTTCTTACTTTGGGGATTCTCAGGGAAGTTGGCATCAATTTCTCTTGTACTGCCTGCTATACCTTCATGCCCTGAGATTTTATCCAGGTATCTGATCTCATTAAAACTAAATGATTGTGCAGGTATGGATTGTGACTTCATGACCAAGGTTATCTAGAAAAATGTATGGGACTGTGAGCATCTTCTTTGAGTAATTCTATGTGTAGGTGGAAGTAACCAGAAAAGAAACAAGTGTTGCTGGGTAAGGGAGCCTACAGTAGTTTTGCTTTTCACATTTAATCTGCTCTCATTTGGAATAAAATTTGACTTGTGGGTAACCCTGGATAGGAATCCCATAGTTCCAATCACACTTTCTATGCTTTTAAAATACATTTTCTGAAAAAGAGAATGAAAATGAGACAAATTGCTTCAGAAGTAACAGGTGTTTTTACAGAAACTTTAGACATATAGATAAGTAGAAAAAAAGAAAAAAAATGCTAGTGATTTTTTCAAGTTTTATTTGTAGATAATCACAGATAATATTTTGGTATGCATCCTTCCAGACTTTTTTATATTAGAATATGTGTCAAAATCTCTGTGATAAAAATCCTTATAGACACTTGTCTAATGATTGGATGAGGACAAACACCTTGAATTAGAACTGGTGGTTTAAGGAAATCTACATTTATAGGGGTTTTAATATATGTATTTAAATTTCTTTTCCAAAAGTTGACATCGATATTTATCAACACCAGAAGTATGCCCTTGGTTTTTAAAATCTTTGCTTATATGCTGAGTGAAAGTTTCATTTGAAGAACTCAATCCCATTTTTTTTCCTATAGGTCTGCTGGCCATTCTTTATCTTCTTTTGTGTGTGTGTGTGTGTGTGTGTAGTTTGTAAAAGATCTCTCTATGTTAAGATATTATGTTCAAATATCCTAATTTTATGTCTTTTAATTTAGTATTATAATTTTTATTAGAGTACATTCAGTTACATTATAATTGACTGTACTTCAATTTAAAAAAATGTGTCAGTTTCTGGCATACAGCACAATGTCCCAGTCATGCATATACATACATATATTTGTTTTCAAATTCTTTTTCATTAAAGGTTATCACAAGATATTGAATATAGTTCCCTATGCTATACAGAAGAAATTTTTTAAAATCGATTTTTATATATAGTGGCTAACACTTGTTAATTTAGTATTGCTTAATTTAGTATTGAGTTTTAAATACTCGTGTATGGGGATCTATCAATCTTCTTCCTTTGTGTTTTTTTTCTTCGTATTATGTTGATAGATTTTAAAACTTGCAAAGCAGAACCCACCCAATGACCCTTCATGAGAAAATGAGGGACTTCTGCTAGGCATCGTTACGGGCGATGCGGAGCCTGGGATCTTACTCCATTCAGAGCATAGACCTGAGCGCACAGGTTTGTTTTATGCATTTTTACACTAAAGAAATATTCCCTGTGGTCCCTAAACACTTTGTTTAGGTTGAAAAAAAAATGAGATTCTTCCTTAGATTCATTTTATTTAACATTATACACATTCTATAAGCTTATTTTTTTTAACTTTTTTAATTGAAGCAGTTGATTTACAACGTTGTATTAGTTTCTGGTGTGCAGCATAGTGATTCAGTTATATATATATATATTCCTTTTCATGTTCTTTTTCATTACAGGCTACTACAAGCCAATGACTAGTTCCCTGTGCCTATTAGCTTATTTAAAAAAATTGTTTTTATTTACTTTCTTTTTTGAAGGGTGCTAATTAGGTTTTTATCATTTGTTTATTTTTTATTGGAGGTACTAGGGATTGAACCCATGACCTCGTGCGTGCTAAGCATGTGTTCTACCACTGAGCTTTGCCCTCCCCCCACCCACTATAAGCTTATTTTTAACTTGAAGATTTGTTTGTCTTTCACAAAGCATCTTTAGGAAATTACATTGTATTTATGGTAAATGTAGACACATTTTCCTCCAAAATGAAACACTTGGCATTTATAAAAATGTAAACGTTCAAATTAAAATTCAAAGTTTTGATAACTCTAGCTGAAAATTTGTAATTGGCTTTAGGAGACATAAATCATAGAGACCGTGCCTACAGGCTTAATTTTAACTTCCAGAATATTAAACAGATGGGCTGTGATTCACTGGACCTTTTCGTATGAAAGGGTGTATTTGGAGATGCAGCTGCCGGAGGAGGTAACAGGCATTCTGTTAGAAGTGTTATGGGTAGAAGCAAATGGTAAGAAGGCCGTGGGTTTTTTGTTTTTAACTCTATGAACGAATGCATGTAGTTGGTAGCTCTGTGCCAATGTGCATGAAATGAGATTGGAGTGATGTATAATACATTCATGTGAGGAGGCAAAAATAAGCCTTTCAAGTTACCATAAGCATTACAGAGAAAGTCCACGTGAGGCACTTTTTTCAGGTAGAGCCTCTGTGTTGAAACCCTTTCCTTTTTGAACAGTCCGTTGTTTACAGCAGCGTTTAAAAAGGATTGTAGAAAGAGGATTTTTTTTTTCTCATGGAAGCATATGCTCAAAAGTGAGGATTTTTAAAGGCATATAAAGGCAAATGGAGGAAGAATTTTATTACATTTATTATCACGTCGTTGAGCCATCTGCTGGGGCTGAGGACACAGGGAGACCTGCGTGGTAGCACTCCCGTCCCCTGGTAAGCTGGTTATTACAGCCCCGTGGCTTTGCCCCTCCGAGCTGCATGCCCGTGCTTGGAGCCTCCTTCTCTCATTCCCCGAAAAGCGCTGCTACAGCTGAGCTACCTGTGGGAACTGTCCAGAGGGCAGACATCCCATTCTCTACGAAGTGCTACATGCATGATCAACGCGGGATTATGAACTGGTTAGAAATTTTAGTTTTTATATTTTGGAAACCATAACTGTGCCCGAATGGAGCAGAAATGGTGCTTTAGTAAGGAGGCAGCAGGAACAGAGAGGGGAATATTGGAAACGGGACGTTGTGAGTTAGGAAAAATCAGAAACCAAAATGTATGTGTAGTATTTATATTCTAGTCTGTTTTGAATGTGGCACCAGGGAGACACAAAGCTAGTCAGCAGAGTTCCTGTCCTCAGGGAACGGAGCGATCAAGGCACACAGGGTTATTCAACCACAGTAAATCCCCCCGTCTCAGTGGATTGATAGTATTTGTTGCTTGCTCATGCTACGTGTCAAGCACAGGTCACCTTTGTCCCTCAAGGACCCAGGAAGCCTCCATTTCCTCTTGTGCTTCCCCTACAGCAGGGGGAGGAGATGGTGGCAGTATCTTGTACTGGGTAATTAAATGCTTTCTCCAGGAAGTGGTGCACGCCAGTATTGTTCATATTTTATTGGCCAGAACAAATCACATGGCTGCCCCTAATTCGAAGGGAGGAGGAAATACAATTCTACAATGTTCCTGGAAGGAAGACGAGAACAGGAACTTATGTAAACTCGTCCTACTGACGATTCCCCAGAAATGCAGTATAAGATTAAAGAAGCAAAACACAGGCCCATGAAAACTTGGTAAGACACACATATAAATGCAAGACAATGGTAGAAACCCAGTTCAGTTCAGAATTTATTAAGGGGCTACTATATGTCTGGCAGTGTGCTAGGCATGGAGACTACAAAGATGTACAAACCAGCATAAAAAAAAAACAACAAAAACCCCCCTCTGAGTTAGGGACACAGACACACACAGATAACTCAGGAAAAACATGAGATAGGAACTATGCAAAGCAATGAGGCGACAGACGGATGATAGAAGGTTTTGCGTGCCGTATCAAGTAGCTTGGGCTTTTCAAGGGTTATGGGCAGGGAATGGATATGATTAGATTTTCATTTAAATACATCATGAGAGATCTCCTGGAAGATGGACTGGAGGGAGGCAAGACCAGAGGCAGAGCAACCAGCAAGAGGTGATTGCATCAGTCCAAGTGACCCATGGTGAGAGTCCTAAGGTAGAATGTTGAGTA